AGAGTCGTCAACATTTTGAAGGCCATAGATAGGCCAAAATAAAATGTTTTTAATTGTGTACTAGTATAACGCTGAATATTATTTATGACTTTAACTTCATACACAAGTGCCAAAATACTATAATCCCGAGTACTTTTGCACGAAGTTAAACAACAACCACCGTGATTTTATATCGGCTGTGATAGTCACCCGAATTGTTGACTTTCATATTCAAAATCGTGTTAATATATCGCACTCATCCCAGTATTCGAATCTCTATGATATCTTTCTTTAAATAATTTCTGCTGTTTTCATTAGTATGCTTTCGATCAATAGAGCGTTTTGGTTGGTTACATTATACTTTTTCCGTACGCACTTCTGTATTGTATATATATTTATGATGCTTAAATGCTTTTTTCTAGATGCTCTTCTCAACAAATTTGTTAACAAGACCAATTTTTTTATAGAAATACAATCTAAAACATTCGAGTACTTACGTATACTTCTTCCCATTGGCTGACATATCTTACCAATCTCGATAACCGTAGCAACCTCAATAAACTAAGCATTTTGACCAAACGTAGAATTCGTAACGCACGGCCGGCATGCAGCAGCTGAAAATTGTCACTGTAGTCTGGGTTGAATATTAAAAAAATATAGTCCAGCGGTATGGAACTAATGAGGTCAAGAAAAAACCATGTCCTTACGTAATGTTTAGCTATTAAATTTGGGTCCAGTATCACTTGTTCAGAGCCATCTTGCTTCATTATACCTGAAAACAAAATTGAAAATGATCCTCTCTACAAGTATTCACAAATGTGTACTTTTCTGAATAATCAAATCTTCTTTTTATGAAGATATATATATCTTAAACCTAATCGTTTAATTTTGATTGTTTTCTTGTAACATTTATTAATAATTTTGTGAACCCGCCATGTAAATGACAAGAAAGAGTGAACTTTTTTATATGACAAACCACGGTTAATATTTGTATCTCCAATAAACTACAATAAATATAGTTTCTGAAATAAATGTTTAACTCTACTTACCCTTGTCGTCGAGTGCAACTTCTAACAGTAATCAATTCTTAAAGAGAAGACTTAGTTAGGCTTAAAAGTTTAGTTATTTTTATCTGTTAAAAACTTGTGTACACAAAATTGTCACTCAATACAAATGGTAAATAGATACATTGGAATCTAAATCTCAGTCTATCAAATTCTAATTCAACAAAACTCTTTCTTTACATAAAAAAAAAAATTGTACTATGTTGTACATACAATTGCACACTTAAATGTTTGTTCTAAAACAAATTCTAAACAAGAACATCTTTAATCAACATATACACTTATCATAGGACATTATTATTACACCTATATCATTTTTAAACACTGTATTCTTTATCTGTTCCCTAGGGGATATTCAAGAATTGGAAAAGTGTATAATAATAATAATAATATTCCAACCAAACTTTGTTGTTATATCCATTGTCGATGACGTGTTTCACTCAATCCAGAGCTCTCCAACCCGTCTGGGACACAACAAACGCAGCACTGGTCGGAACACTAGCCATCTGACACAACAACGGTTGTTATGATGTGTAAGTTCTTTACAAGATGCAGAAGAATGATTAAAATTATATTTGTCAGAAGACATTAGTATTTAGCCTATTACATTTTTAAACACATATTCTTTATCTAATTCCTTAGGGAATTTCAAGAATTAGAATATATTTAATAATAGGGACTAGATAAATAAACGTTGTGATTAATTAAAAATGTAATAGGCCTAATACGAATGTCTTATGACGAGTGTAATTGTAATCATTCTTCTCCAGCTTGTATAACACTATAACAATATTTAATTAATTACTTTTATGTCTTATGGGATGAGCAAATGTTTTGTAAAATAATTTCATAAAACCACTCAGTTAAACGAACCCGTTCTAAAGTTTACAACGATGTCTAGGAGGAAGATGGTATCGGAAAGACAGTTGAAGGCAATCCATCGCGCAGACAAGTCGTCATTGAAGAAAGAAATAGCAACAGGCAAAACAATAAGGTTTGCAACCAGGAATAGCAGCATACACAGGTCCCAGTAGAATCTAAAGGAGAAAAAGGAATACGGAGTATGCACTGTGTAAATATTAAAACAGTTCACATGCAGGTCCTGTTAGCACGTTATGAATCATCAAACATTAAGTTTTAGTATATTCTACCGGCAGAAGTAAAGGGAATTCCAACACATGTTGCACATTCAGTTAAGGTATTGTTACGTCTCTGATCGTTTGTTAATTTCCCGTATAATTTATTTCGGATGAAACTTTAGCTATATAAGTCCTTTCTTAAATAAAACTAGTTTATTCTTGCTCAATTCAACTTTGTAATACACTTAATTTCCACAGTCACTTTAAACACACGCTATAATTCACAATGAATCACGCACTTACTTACGGTCACTACCGCACTTGACTCAATTGTCCGTCTTTATCTCTGACTGTCTGCAATTCAATTCCGATTAATTTGTCTCACGTTATCCGGCGCACTTATATACAGGAATAGAGGGCGCCTAGCACATACTGTATTATTCGTGATGTTCCCTGATCCTTCTGGAATATCATGACGTGTTACCAGCGTCACGTGACTACCGCTATCGTAACAGTATCATGAGTGGTAACGTGTAAGGTCACAGTGTATTCTTTTGAGGGAAGCACAAGCACCAATACACGTCACATGCTCTGTTAAATGCTAGGGTAAGCAGCTATGGGGTCAAAATAATAATATCTTACAATTTTAGAAAACACTAGTTGCCAGTATACGGAAGCATAAAGCATATATTTATATGCGTGACTCTACACTGTATAATATATTCAAGGATATCCAGCAGTTCTTTTATTAAAGGCGATACCACTGACCATGTATTGCAGGGGCGGATCCAGAGTGGGGACGAAGGGGCTGCAACTACCAAACATAGACGTAATGAAAGTTTTTTTTTTTTTCAAAAGATTTCACGACCACACAGGTCTAAAACGAAATATCGTTTTACTTGCAATGTTTCGAGCGTATACCCCTCTTCAGGCTTAGCTACTAGAAATATGTTGTGGATTTTTGGGAGCTGAGTCTGACGAAGGCCATACGCCAGAAACGTAGCAAATAAAACATGTTTTCGTTATAGACGTGTGTTGTAACTTTTTCTAATATTCTTTCAGTACTTTTCACGTCTTGCCGTCTTTCTCTTTGCAGGATTTTTTTTTTTACATGTCATCCTTTTACATGCTTAAGGAACTAAGTTTTTCACAGTTATTGTACGATTAAAAACGTACCAGTATTATATCTTAAATATAATTAAACATTCAGTTGTGGATAAGATACATTTTTGAGGCTACAGTAGATTACTAGCCTCGTAATAAATTATTTCAAATAATGGTCGCCCTCTCAATACGCTTTTCACTAGAGAGTCTTTTATGTGTGTACAAATGTACATAAAAGTGCGTAGCATTAGTTATGTAGTCCAAGAGATGGAGAAAAGTGACATTAACGGGTAATACTTTATTCCTCTTGTGGTTCTGACACAACGACGGCCCATGTAGACGTAAGCAGTTTCTATGGTAATAAAATGGAGTCTAAACCAAAAACCTTTTGGTCATCGGCGGAGAAGCACTGACTGCCAGAGTTAAATGGGCTATAACTTAGCTGTAATGATGTCTGTAAAGAACCAGGTCCTGTGTAGTAGTTCTTTACGCATGTGAACAGTAGAACACTGTCGGAGTTATGATGTGAGCTTTTGGTTTGCTGTTATAATTCAGTAAAGTATATCTTTGCATTAAATATAACAAAATCATGGTGACTGGTATTAATTAAGCAGTACTTGTTATTTAGTTAAAACTCTTAAATGATAGTTAGTTACCAGTTGAAAAGGTTACGTAGTGTTACGTATCTGCTTGTTTGATAATTTCCGGTATAAATTATTTCCGAGGAACTTCAGTGATACAAGTACTTTCTTGGTTAAACCAGTTTATTCTTCCTCGATATAAACTTTTAGCACACAGTAATTGCACAATCGATACGTTTCTCGTCACTTTAAACCTAACTACTTTTATAATACACGCTAGAAATTATAGCTAGTTAGTAAACATCTTTACTGGTTTTAACTGTAAATTTTTATTGATGAGTTTATTAGATCTAGAGATGTTTTAAATGAAATCATTCTTTTGTACAAATTGTAATTTCTCGTTTAGTTAAAATCCCCGACTGATGTTTATTTACATTTACGTTGTTTATTAATTATAAACTAAATTATTTACATTGGTGTTTAGCCTAATTAAAAGTTGAATTGTAATTTAGACACAGATTTAGATTTTAGTTAGCTAAAGCTATTTTCTTAACTTATTTAGTTAACTTATAATTAGTTAGTTACTACTACGTTCAGATGTTTATCATTGAACATAATATAGGGAAAATATAGATTTTAAGGTATTCTTTATCTGAAAGTAGCTAAATTTGTATTAAAAGTTAGATTGTATTTTAGATTTAGTCGAGAGTGTCGATTTAATTACTGCTATATTGTTCCTGAAAATTATGTCGACATTATTGTAAAATTGAGTTTACCGTCTAGCTACTACTAGAATATTTAGTTTACATCGATAATAGTATGAATCTGGTTTTCATTAGATTATAGTTACTTTCTGATGTTAATAAATAGATACATGATTTAATAAAACCTAAACTGTCGAATGTTTATAACAATAAATGAGTTAGTTTGTCACATAAGTAACATTTATGTTATTAGTTAGACTCTACAAAATGTAGTAATATCGTTAAGTTAAAAGCTACTCTGTTAGTTATCACAACTAGATCCTTGAGAAGATAATTTGATCTTCAGTTAATTACAAGAGTTTCAGAGTGTTGCGATAAAATGTTTTATTAGTTGTTACAACTACATTCTTGAGAAGATAATTTGGTTTTTAATTAATAATACGATTATCAGTATGTTACAATTAGATCCTTGAGATTAGATCCTTTGTTGTTTAATTGATAACAATAACAAGATTGCTAGCATGTTAGAGCAAAATTCTTTATTAATTGTTACAACTAGATTATTTAGATGGTAATTTGGTCTTCAATTAATAACAAGAAGTTTACTTTACATTCTTTATTTCAGAATAATCTTGTATTTGTTGAATTATTAATCACTTCTGTGAAACTCTAGTAAAGAAGTAACTTTAATAAATAATTAAATTATTATATTACGAATAACATATTTTTCATGCTATAATCTTTATTGGATTAATAAACAAACAGGTGGTTAGAATCCCGAATAATAACAAGGAGGATCAAAGATTCAGTTAGCAAACGAGGGGAGCAAATAAATAGCCCCCCAGTGGCACAGCGGTATGTCCGCGGACTTACAACGCTAGAATCCGGGTTTCGATACCCGTGATGAGTAGCTTTGTGCTTAGTTACAAAACAAACAGCAAATAAATGACGCAAAATTGTAAAATAAATAGACAAAATTTATTAAACACCGAACAACTAAATACATAAACACAACTTAAGTTATGACAAGCACAAACGATTCGGGAATTTTGAGATAGCATTTCATGCATTTGGGATAGAATTGAAGCCCTAAACATTATTTCACATTTCCGTAACAGGTATGCATGATACCAAAGATGAAAGAAGAAGTTATACTAACTTACAATTTTTATCTATAGATTAATATAAGTTAGGTGAAGTTAAAGTTATACAAGTAAACTTAAAGCAGCTCCTCCTTCTCATAAATTAGGCTAATCTGTATTTAAAAGTATATAATGAATCAAAATCTTAGCATACGAACTTGCTGTTACCATACGAACAAATACCTGGCAAACTGAATAACGTAAACAACAGTATACTAATTGCACTTAGTGTATTACGTCATGGTTGGAGAGTATGGGCAAAATTCACCAGTCATTTTTCGAACAGAAACAGGGTAAACAAACATCGTTACAACTACTTAAAGTACTTTCTTGTAGAACAAATTAGTATCACAAGGAAAACATTTCTGCAGGGAATGAAAAAAACATAGCAGTCATAACCAAGAAGAATTATTATAAAACATATGAAATACAATACAATATTTTATAATAATAGTTACAATACTCAATACTGTTACATCTCTGTGTTCGTTTGTTAATTTCCCGTATAATTTCTTCCGGATGAAACTTTAGCAATACAAGTCCTTTCTTAAATAAAACTAGTTTATTCTTTCTCAATACAACTTCCAATACACTAAATTTCCACAGTCACTTCAACACACGCTATAATTCACAACGATTCACGCACTTTACTTACGGTCACTACCGCGCTTGACTCAATTGTCCGTCTCTATCTCTCTCTGTCTGCAATTCCAATTCCGATTAATTGTCTCGCTTTATCTGGCGCACTTATATACAAGAATAGAGGGCGCGTAGAAAAGACTAGAGGTGCCACAAACAGACATGATCCTTGTAGAATATCATGACGTGTTATTAGCATCACGTGACTTCCGCTGTCGTAACAATATCATAAGGTAAGCTTTTACTGTAGTTACATAATATGCTGAGACAGTGTTCATTACGATACTTCACCACATCAGACAACAACATTCACATCAGTCATCACACTTCAAAAGTTACCATAATAATGTAGTTGAACTCCTTTATCACCTCTAAGACAAACGTTAAAACAAACCAAAAGTGATAGTATACACTGATAGAGAAGTAAACATGCTTTCGAAATACAACTAAAAAAATTCACAGACTCAATACCTTCAACGAAAACTCTTGAACATAAACTAAGAAATGTAATTTATAAACATAAGTACATATGATACAGCTTACTTAAAATGGGCAACATACTAACACAGGCCACTTAACCCTGGTCATTCAGCGGTAAACTTGTGAAATCTGGGTCTTATCCTCGCGGCGGGCCTAGCAGATATAGTCCGTTGTGTTGTTTCTTATTAAGCAAAAAGCTACACAAGGGGCTATCTGTGCTATGCCTACAACGGGTATCGAAACCCGTTTTCTAGCGGTATAAGTCCACAGACATACCGCTGTGCCACTGGGGGGCATCCGTTGTGTAA